AATATATATGTGCACACAAATGTACACTTATCCTTATTTATTACTCAAAAGGTAGCATAATTACATTGTTTCATAGAGATCTTACTTACACTTTGGTTGTATAATACCCCACTGGGGAATATGCCATAGTATATTCATTCAGTCTCCAATTCATAGGCATTTAAGTTGTTTTCAATACTTTGCTGTTACAAATATGAAACAATATGTGGACAAAGTTACTCCTTATAGTGACATAATATAGTTTCATACTTATGGAGGGGAATTTTTCAGGGTAAATTCTAGAAGTGAGAGTTTGCTGAGGGAAGAGTGAATAAAATGTGATGTTAGATGTTATGATACTTCACTCCAGGGGGTCGTGCTGGGTGCGTTCTCACCAGACCTGTGTGGCAGAGCTTGTTTTCCCAGCATTGCATGCTTTACAAATTGTGTCAATCTGATATGAGAAGAAATGGAACCTTGGTGTGGTTTCAGTTGTTTCTTTTTTATAGAACTTGTAATGAATTCTTTCCCCTGCCCCCATTGATTTTCAGAGAGAATGGAAGGGAGGGAGGAGAGAGAGAGAGAGAAACATTGATGTGAGAGAGACACATAAATGGTTGCCTCCTACACGTGCTTTGATCAGGACCAGGGAAGAACCTGCAATTAAGGTATCTGGACTTGACTGGAAATCGAAGCTGAGATACTTTGGTCTGAGGGCCAATGCTCAAATTGGCCAGGGCGATTATAATTCTTTAAATAGATTTTTATTGATCTGCAGGCCAATGCTCTTTCACCTGAGCCAAAACCAGCCAGCTGTGGCTCAACGGTTGAGCATTGACCCAGTAACCAAGAGGTCACTGGTTCAATTCCCATTCAGGGTATATGCCTGTGTTTTGTGCTGAATTCCAAGAAGGGGGTGTGCAGGAGGCAGACTATGAATTATTCTCTCTTATCATTAATGTTTCTAGCTCTCTCTCTCCCTTCATCTCTGAACTCAATAAAATATATATTTAAATTTAAAAAAAGATGTGATCCAAAGGGCAGGCTGAGATCCTAAAAGTTGGTACCTAATAACACATATCCAATCTCTTAGGATTCTCATATTGATTTTTATTATACTAAGTTTTCATATGAAGAATAGAGTCTCCAGGATTTAATGAATTGCCAAAGGATATATTGCTAGTGAAGGGCAAAGTCATAATCAGCAACCAAACTGGTCTCTTGTGGTTTTTCATTATTTTTTGCATGATTTCATCATACTATGTTACCCACCTTTGAAGAAAAACATACCCAATTCCAACAAGAGAGAATAAGTTACCTCAACTAACACTCTTTATTCCTTACAGAGATGTTTAGAGCTATGGCAGTCCTCAAAGAACTCTAAAGGGGAATTGAACCAGTATATATCAAATGAAAACATTGAGAAATTTATGATGGCACTCAAAGTTGAAGGTCAGGTGAGGACATCTCAGACATCTTTCTGGCACTGGCCCCATGGTGGAACCACTTCCATAAAGGTAGCTGGTTGGGTGCATACCCATTCTGTCAGGAGTGGGGCAAGTATTTCCAGTCAGCAGAGCACTACTCGGCTCAGTCCTTTCACAGCTCCAGGTCAGGTTCCCATGTCCCTAGGTTAACCCATAAACTTCTCCACCTACTTCCCCCCAAACCTGGGTCCAGCTTTAATCTTCTCTCTAGACTCAGTCCTCCTCTTCCTTTCTCTACCATGGATCATTATTCTCTTTCTTTCTTTTAACCCTCCATCCTTCAACCTTCCTTCCTTTCTTGAATCCCTTCTCTCCTCTAGATGTCAGAAGATGATATCATAAAAACCCTCAAATTACTGGAAGTCAAAATTCTAAATACTAAGATGCCTAATACATTCTGCCAGAAAATTACAGGTGTCCTTATCAACTACCTGATTAGAATGGTGAGGAGCTCATGCCTTTGGGTTGGGGGCTGTAGGGAAAGAAAGGATTCCAAAACTAAAGCCAGGAGTCCCTTTCTGGTGGGTGATGACATTTTGAAATTAAGTAGTATTTGGGAGATGAGTACCTCAACTTTCTAAACAATTTCCTAGAGCCTATCCTATGTCTTATACCCTGAACATGTCTCAAGAACTGTGACCTAAAAGTTAAAGTAATGAAGTAAGGAGGAGGTGAAAGAGTGAGATGGAAAGGTGGAAAGGATTTAGGCTTTGGGTCTCAAAATCTAAGCTGTCCTAATCCTCCTCCTGGGATATCTTAGGCAGTCACCTTTGCTGTTGCAACTCAGCCAGTCATTCAATTTATTCACTAACCTATTTAAATCCACCCACTTTCCTGCTAGGCCAACATTGGACTGAATATTCATGACCTCTACCTATTCATCTATCCAGATACTTTTATACTTAATTTTCCTGGTACTGGGTAAATCTGGTTTCTGATTTTCTTGGTTAACTGTCTACATACAAGGTGTCTTCCAGTTTACCTGCCTTCTTTGGCACACCTGTTTACTGATCAAGACCTGACCCTTCAAGAAATTTTCAAAGTTACCTCCATAATCTACCCACCTCTGTGATGACGGTTCACTTGTTGCTTCAGGGAAAGCTCTGTGCTCTGGAAATGCCAAGCCCCATTCCCACCCCAACACAAGCCCAGAGACTTTGCAGAGTTTTTCATTTCCTGCCCTCTTGCACACTCTAGGAAGCTCTTGCCCTCTATCATGGGGAAGGTGTATGTTGAATGGGGTTGTAGGATGAGATAGGATAGTTACTGCCCTCTAGATAGAGGAGAACCACTTACTGAGCAAAGGCAATTCTCAGAAGCTGAGGGACTCATCTTGGAGAGTAGTCTTGGAACAGTGAGTCTTTCTTTTTCCAGG